CCCCAAAACCCCAAAACCCCAAAACCCCAAAACCCCAAAACCCCGAATCTCATTGACTGAATTGAAGACTAGTCAAACAAAATTTTAAGATTTTATTATAAAATTTACAAAAATGGAAATACTCCAGACTAAAGAGGTAAGGTTCTAGGGATGACAAATAGACAATAGAGCAGAAGATGGAAAAGACCCATGATTCGATAGATGAGGACTTCCCTCCTACTGCTAATTCTCTTTATAATACCATAAATACGAAGCTCAGCAAATAAAGAGTTAGAGACTTGGCAAAATTTTGAATGGAGACGCCCACACGAAATTTTTCAGGGAAAGTTTTGTCTATTCTCAGATAGTATCGATCCTTGAGACATCAAGCAAGGTTGCCTTGGGAACTGTTATTTCCTTTCAGCGATTAGTGCAATGGCTGAGTTTCCTAACCAAGTTAAGAAAATATTCCTTCACAAAGAAATTAATGAAGATGGCATCTATGCAGTTAATTTTACTCTGGGAGGGGAGAACTATACAGTACTAGTCGATGATCACATTCCATATTATGTAAAATAAAAACAAACCTGCATTTTCCCAGTCTAAAGGCAAAGAACTATGGGTTATGCTGCTAGAGAAAGCATGGGCTAAAGTCAATGGCAATTATGAAAATTCCATCAAAGGATTTGTATCTGAAGCCTTTAGAGCTTTAACAGGAGCGCCAGTGGTTTTCTTCAAGCATATGTACATCCAGGATATTTGGGAAGAAATCTCCGAAGCTGACATGAACAAATATATCATCTGTGCTTCCTCTGGTGAAGGTCAGCTGAATAAAGAGAGATATGATGAAATGGGGCTTATTAGCGAACATGCATATTCAGTTATTGCAGCCACAGAAGTTGATACAGCCAAAGGGAGAGAACGGCTTCTCAAACTTCGAAATCCATGGGGTCATAAGGAGTGGAAAGGAAAATGGAGCGACAACGATGAGTCCTGGACTGACGAACTCCGTAAAGCTCTTGGCTGCCAAGAAATTAATGATGGTGTATTTTTCATGTGTGTAGAAGATTATCTTAGTTATTTCCGAACCACTGTTATATGAAAATTACATGAAGATTTTGTATCCCATTCGATAAGGTGAAAGCATAATACTGGTGATTATAACCTCATAAAGATCACTATTGAAGATGAAGGCAAGATATTTTTTACAGTGTCACAGCTAAACCAAAGATGGGCAAGAAGACATAATGAATATGAGCCATCCTTTGTTAGAATGTTATTATCAAGAGTAGTACCAGAAGACGAAGATGATTCAGAAGACTTCCCTTTAGAGTACATAGAAGGAAAATGTTGGAAAGATGAGGATACAACAATTGAGTGATACTGAATACCTGGAGAATATTTAGCTTACATAGAAATCTATTGGTTTGATGACACGCAGTTCAATGATCTTGTTTTCAGAACTTACTCAGAGATAGCACCTATAATTGAAGAAATTGATAAGGATGAATATCCCAATTTCCTTTCAGAAACTCTTAAAACATGAGCTAGGAATTCTAGTGTCGTTAAGACTTATGCAGATAAAGGCGAACCAGATATTTTCAGGTCCTTTAGTATTACAGAGTCTAAAGCTGAGTACGGATTTCTTTACTATGAAAATAACTCAGCAGGAACAATTCTGAGAGAGATTGTGAAATTTAGTGAACTCGAAAACCTCCAAATCTTACCGCCATACAGTGGTGAAATGGTTGAAGTAAAGGTTCCTCCAGGGATGAACGAAATTATAGTTCTTAACAGAGACGATAGAGGCTGATCCTTTAACAGTACCTATTATACAGCTCTTATAAAACCTGTTGAAGAGACTCTCAAAGTGATCACTGAGAGGGGTAAGAGAAAGCAAATTGAATACAATGATGAAAAATACGAGGTGTACTATTATACTTATAAAGATGGAAGTGGATACCTCTGGTATTTTGAAAATAGATCTGACGAACTTGATGACAAGCAAGCTTATATTTTTGAAGGAACCTTCTACTTCAAACTAGAAAATCTCGAAATTGACAGCGATGAGTATCGAGATAAGCAAGAATGGAAGGTCACACTCAAGCCAGGGGAGACTTCTTATGTAAAATTCCTTCTAAAAGATGTTACTAAATCATGGGGCTATAAGTATTCCTACAGCTTCAAGGTTAAGGAGGCTGTCTTAAACAACTCAAAATTGATAGATAAAGTAAAGGAGTTTGGAAAACGGAAGCAAATCTCTTACAAAGATGAAAAAGTAGATGTATTCTACTACATTTATTTCATTAATGAGCGATACATCTGGTATTACGAGAACCTTACTGATAAAAAGTTCAGGGCTACCTTCAATTTCGAGCTCACCAATTTGAAGATTGACAGAGAGGAAGAAAAAGATGAGGAAGATGGTGAAGAAGAAGGATGGAAAATCCTTCTTCTCCCTGGTGAGACTTGTATCAAAAGTATCTCTAGAATAGACCAGAAATGAGAATCCAAATATAGAAGCTCTTATTCCTACAGGTTGTCCGCAAATGATGACGAGTAATTTGTTAATTCAACTTTAAAATTATTTATAGGGGTTTTGGGGTTTTGGGGTTTTGGGGTTTTGGGG